GAGAGAGAGAGAGAGAGAGAGAGAGAGAGGCATTTGTTTTGTTGCAGTGCTTGAAACAGAGATAAGCCTTTTCCTGTTTCCATACCAACTCATCTCACCTAACCCCAGGCAGGAGACTCGGAGGCCTGATTTCCCCAGGTTCCTGCAGGAAGAGAGGGGAGAGAGAGGGGGGAGAGAGGAGAGAGAGAGAGGGAACAACGTGAGGAAAAACACTGGGGGGATTTAGAATGTGTACACTGACACATCAATCACAGGCACACACATCAGTGTACAGTCGGTGAGTAGTGATCCGACTGTAGGCTGACGTGTTCGGAGAGAAACTAGTCCTGGTCGAGTCCTGACTTCACTGACAGACGAAAATCAAACAGAAAATATCTTAAACCTCCGCAAATAAAAGATGGATTTAATAAATTTTTTTAAATGCAAAAAAACTGTTTAGGATAGCTAAAGGTTAGCTGGAGATTTGCCTCAGAAAAAGCCTTAATGTCAGCTGAAGGATGTTAGGAAATATAAATAAACAGAAACAGAAAGTATTTTCATATTTTTAAGATAACAAAAAAATTTAAATGTTAATTTCCTATCCTGTTATTGAAAAAAATATTTAAAAAAACCCCATCAACAATACGCAAAAAATAATTATATTATATTGTTATATTATTATATTAATATTATATTATAATGTTGTTATTATAGTACTCAGTACTTTGTACTGAAGACGTATATTTTTACTGCAGAGGCAAAAAATTCAATCACTTCCTATTTGTATTTTAAATATTTCCGTTGTTGTTTTTCCATATTTTTATGTCAATCATTCTCATCATTTCATCTCACTGCGTTCTTAGTTAAATAACAAATATCTCTGAGTACTTTAAGAAAAAAAATCTAATTAAATTCATAAATCTAATTATGATGAAACACAGCTCCCCCTACAGTCTCTCTGTGGCCTGTGGTCAAATGAACTGCTCTGACTAATTAATCCTGACCAGTTGACCTTTAATCCCTGGTCCAGCGTGTCGTCTCTGAGCTGCAGGGTTAAAGGGAGACAACCGTACGGTCGGGTTGTACTACAGTCGTACTGTACTACAGTCGTACTGTACTTCTGTGCTGTAAAATACCCTCGCGGTACTGCATTACCAGACGCGCCACATTTGATTAGTGGGAGAAGCGAGTTCTGAAGGGCGAGCTAACGGAGCAGCAGAGAGCTGCAGAACTGACCGCAGGAGCTGGTGCAGCTGAGAATTATGTGCCGGCTTTTTTCTCCCCCTCCCTCCCCCCTCCCCCCTCCCCTCCATATATATATGTGTGTGTGCTCTCCCCCATTCCAATTAGCTGTAGATCCAGCTGGAGAAGCAGCACAACTGCAGAGCTGCTGCTGCTGCTGCTGCTGCTTCAGCCTCACTGCGTCCACCGCAGACGTACGAAGACAGACTGTCAGAACGTTTAAACTCCGTCCTCCCGCTCCTGACTTCATTATATTTTCCCCTCGGGTCTATTTTTAGAGTTTGACCTTAAGCTATATATTTTTCTCCCCCTGCATATCTAAGCTGTCGGCTGATGGGTGAAACATCAACCTGGTCTAATGGTGGCTCGTGGGCCATATGCGGCACCAGACACCAGCCATAGCGGCCCAGTCTCTGGTCAAGTGTAAAAAGGCGGAGTGTGACAGTTAGTCAGGTCGTCAGAGTATTGTCAGAAACACGTTATCGTCCAGCGTTTTTTCTTTTTTTTTTTGGTCCAGATTGTGTAGTTAGCTCCTGTATGTTAGCCACCGGAAAATGAATGGGTTAAAAATCTGCTTCAGACTCATTTTTTATCAGCTTCTAAAATGTGTTCATTTAAAAACAAACACATTTTTGTTACTTACTCACTCATCGCTTAAACGTGATTTTTGCTTAAACTGCAAAAAACTGAAAGGTCCAGAGTGAAGTTGGTTTTTCTTCCGACAGAAGTCGGGATTAAATCACAGTGGAAAGAATTAAAAATAACTCTAAATATCAGCTGCTCCTGGCACAAAAACGTCAGTGTTTGCTGCAGGAAATGGACGTTAAACAGGAAGTTTAGGAGGTTTTTTTGTTTAACAAAAACCTTAAATGTTTTTCTAAAGTTTTGAAAAGAAAAAAAAAATTTGAAATCCGTAGAAAAAATCTTTCGTATACAACATTCAAAGGTTTTTTTGTCTGTAATGTGTGAGAGAGAGAGAGGGAGAGAGAGAGAGTGTGGGGGAGTATAAGGGTGTGAATCATATTGTTTTGTCATGATTTCAAACTCAGAATAGCGCACAGGTCAAAGGTCGCAGATTCTACACAGAGCATCAGTGGGGTTTGATGTAGCTGACTCTCTGCTCTAACTCGCCATTCGTCAACCGCTGACAGCTCCGCCTGCTCCCCGCGCACCAACAGTCACTTTGAACACTGGTAGTAAATATAAATGAGGAACATGGGAACAAAACACACACATACACACAGTCACACACACACTTCAGATGTTTTCTCTGAAGCTCCTTCTTCTCCTTTGGCTCCGTTTATTTATTTATTTGTTCGGCAGCGTCCGTCAAACTCAACCTTTTGTCTTGAATCCTCGTGGGAGGAAGTTGACGGCCTGGGTGTCTGACAAGGTCGGATCTAAAAATATTGGCAGGTTGTGCATGAACAGAGTCTGGTTATTAAGATTTTTTTTTAATGTAAAAATAGCAGCTTTGTGAAGATGAGCACAAAAGAACGTTGGCTCTTAGATCTGGAGTCGGGATTTAATTTTAGCTTCTTTTTATATTTAAAACTTTGACTCCTCCTGCACCAAGAACATCATGCAAATTCCCACTAACAACAACCGACGATTTAAAACTTTGACTCCTTGATTCCAGGATGAGGTCGAGTGACGTCTGCGCCAAGAACATTATGCAAATTCCCACTAACAACAACCGACACCTCCGACACATCTGAAGTACTTTTTAAGACCACTATGTGGCACTATAGCCCACGACTAAAAAAAGTGACCAATCTCTTCGCCCCTCAGATTTTTTTCATAAATTGATTTTCTTTGTCTTTGTATTTACATGTGGTGAAGTGGAGTGATGCTCTGTAATGATTTGGGGCTGCGTTTCAGAGGCCTGTACATAGGTAACCTCATCGTTGACCATGATGAACAAACATGACTGTGGTTTTCTTACATACTAGACTTTTGAAGATAATTTGGCACATTTGATGTTTACCGCCATCTAGTGGCAGCAACACGTTGTACTGCATGAAACAGAAGGATTGACATCAGTCCCTTGCTGTTACTTTGGACCAGTGTTTTGGCGGGCCGTATCTGGGCCACGGGCCGTGGTTTGCCCAGGTCTGTACTACATTGACCAATCACAGTCCTGTCAGCGACGTTGGTTTTTGTTATTGTTGTTCAAAATGGCTGAAAAGCCGCCGTTACATGTGTGTTTTTATGTGTTTTTCAAAGGTAAAAGTCCGACGTCATCATCACACTGCACACATTTAAACCTCATCGCTGGTGTTCACTGGAGGATGTCATTGTTTCCTGTGTGTGACAACAGCCCCCCCCTGTCCTAGCT